AACATGATGTGTATAACGTAAACGAAGGATAATTCTCACTGCCCGGTTCTGGTACTTTTGCAATTTGTCAGACAAGCATTTACCACAGTTTCCCCATATCACATCGCAGTAGTCTATTTTAGGTAGGACTATACAGTTAAACAACATTATAAGAGTGTGTTGGGGCAGACATGGGATGAGGCGTCGTATGACTCCCAGTCTGGAAGAGACCGCATTACACAACTTGTCAATGTGAACTTGCCATGTTAAGCTGGAGTCAAGCCAAACGCCAAGGTACTTATAACTGGAAACAACTTCCAAAATGGTGCCAGAAAGGATAACTGACAATTGTTCTGTAACTGACATTTGACACCGGGTCAGATGGTAATGCATAGACTCAAAATGGTGTACTTAACTAGTTGAATCCCGGCGCTACAACCATTACGAAGTTTATGTACAGTATAATACGGAAGCTTACAGACACTGCCTTTATAGACACAGTGAATAAGGTATAATACGAGTATCATACGCACTAATGGAGCCCAAAGAACGCTTGTCAAATTCATGAAAAGAAGCTTCTGTGATGATATAGAATAGTAGAAACTTTGGTCAAGCCGAAGTCATTCCACGCGCTCATCCTCATATCTCAAGCGTAAGAAGAGCAAACGGGCCGTGGCATCATTCGTTCTACCTCTCCTCCTCTTTCATCTGTCACCACAACCAGTGGCGTTGGTGGTTTATCACGTCGCCACCGGAGCATGAGGACAATTAACAACCCGGCTCGGAGCACTTCGTACAAATCTCCCTAAATAATGAACATCGTCCCCGTCCGGTTGGAAAGCGAGCACCCTTGAGTAAGCTTTATATTAACTCCGACCTCGACGAAGTAGCGGGTTTATCACTGCCAGGTGAACGAAAGGCAGCAATCATTTCCACCTTTTGGTAGAGGCAACGCGGTGTTCTCAACTCGAAGAAGCAGTTTCAAAGAGTTTTGCAACTTTTAATAAAAAATATACGACACTGTCAAGGACTTTTGCTGATTTACTGAAAATTTATATAATTTTTTTAAGTTAAGACCGTCACAGATTAGGCAGAACTAAAATATAGCTACTAGATTAGGCAGAACTAGAATATAGTAAATTGAACAGTTAGAATATGCCTTGTTTATGTCGATGTGTCAATATAGCGTTCAACATTGGCTCACTACTGTGTATTCAGGAGGCTGATTCTATCAGCATTCTCTATCCCTGCCAGTTGCTCGGCAGATTAGTGGGAAGATTGCCACAGACCGAATGATGTGCCGATTTGATTAACGCGACGACCCCTGACGTGCTCCAATCGGGCTGGACGACCTTGCCTTGCTTCCAGCACATTCCAACATGCCCCTCCTACCAGGGAACCAGCCAAAACCTCACAAATTTTTCGATACAAACCAAAAAAATCCTTTGCATAAAGAAGTCGTCAAATGTTATTCGACAAGATAAGAATTGAGCTACATGTCCAGGTAGCCGTATACTTGATAACGTTGTAAAGTAGTTTGCAGTTTGAGTAAAGCAGTTGATTTTATGTCTAGCCATTAGCCATAAATGGATAACGACGGGGTTTCGGGTAAACGTGAAGCGACGTTATTATGTAACAAAATTTTACCGACTCTAACACTTATTTTCAACCACAAAAACACCATTTTACCTATATAATAAAAGTACATTATCGACATGTAGTAATTAATTATGATGTAGATAGCTGCCCTGTATTTCATATCTACATGTAACAAGAAATGACAGGACCATCATGTTACATGGTTACATTAACTGATTCATCCTGGAATCAGTATATGCCTGATCCCTAAAAGCACCTTGTCCATCATGGTAATAGTGCCAGACACACCGTCGTCTTGTAAACGACTGGAACAGGTTGCTTGTCGGATTTGGAGCTGTATCGCACATTTTACGTGCCACTAGTCTGACACTGTGGTGCATTCTTAGAGCTCTAGATAGGGAATCTAATATGCAAGTTTGCTCACGACATGTTTAGCATTCGATGCACGCCACTAAGAAGATAAACACACAGGTTGTGGCCAATTTACTCTTATTAATACTGGGAACCATCTTACTGTCTACTGACATTTGATACTACAGTGATAAATGTTCTAACTATAAAAACACTTCTTACGTTTGCTGTTCAACAACCTCTGACTAAGGTACAATGCCAATAGATCAAACTCTAGCTAATAAATCTCATCAGTATCTTTGCAGGCCAGCTACCTTGGAATGTTCTAGAAATTGCAAACGTGTAGATTTTGTGCATTGAGTATATAGTAAGTTTGTAAATCTAAAATATGTAGCTGGTAATGTCATTACAGACTCAAGTACTTGACAATGAACGTACCAGTATACGTCAGGGCGTGATGAGCTTTGCTACTTTTCTTCGTCCACATTGACTAAGATTGCCTGTTGTTGCTGTGCAGCTTGCTATCAGGCAACACAAGGAATCGTAGCCGTCATTGGACCAGCTACCACCACATCAGTCAAAGCAGTTCATCCGGTCTGCGCAGGACTGCAGGTTTTCAATATGTTTTTTGATCTTCAAGTTTGTATACCAAGTCGAATGGATTAGGAAGTGTCTACCAAGTCGAATGGGTTAGCGAGTGACTGGTGTTTTGAAAGTAACAATATGTTAAGTCAGCGTACTGAAATTCTTACTAGAACAGCATTGTGCTAAATGGCTGGATTCAATATGAAGGCAGGATGAATTTGGATTCAAAGTGAATTCAGGATGGATTCTAATTTTCTAACTATTCATCTATGTTTTTCTCACTGACATTGGCAACAGTGAGCATAAAGCCATTGTGGTATTCGGTATTGTAAATTCAGAAATGCAATGTAGGTTCCACTTTGTTTTCCCTCCCAAGAGTACAACACACATGATTGTGAGCTGAGCTGCTTCTGTTTGTTGTTCACTCCTAGATCCCACATATAGCCCCCTGGGCCACAGACCCTACCCTGACAGACAACATCAACCAGTACCCATACTTAGTCAAGATGATGCCTCCTGACAGCATGCAGAGCAAAGCCATCGCAGCTTTTGCAGAAAAATACAACTGGAACAGATTAGCATTGTTTACTTCAACAAGCGACTACGGTAAGTAGTACCAGCCTTGTTATAATTGAATGAAAATTTTATGAAAAAATGTTTTGGTTGGTTTTGCAAGTCAATTTGTCTTAGCTTAATATGATCATAATGCATGCCAATGGGAGCGAACTTTCACGACAAAATTAGAGGAAAGCATCTAGTAGCTAGTTAGAATACAAATAAATTTCATTGTGCTCCCTGTCTCACATGCCAAAAATTGCCATGTAGATTATTTACGCAGAGAAGACCATTGTCATACCAAGTCGCATTCTGGACACCAATATAAAAAGCAGAGAAGTTGCTACATAGAATACAAATATATTAATGTGTGCTTCTTGTCGTACCTTATAATTGTCAGGTACACAATTATGTATGACAGACCATCGACAGGGGCTTATTAGATAAAGACAGTCTGATGCAATCTGACCATATCAGCTGTGCTCCCTGCCCTCCTAAACCTCACCTATTCGATCTGATTATGTGATTGGAATTAAATTGGATCAAAAACCTATCAAAGCTCTGTGACAACGATCGGATCAGTGCCTGTGGCTGCGCCTAAGCTGCCACCTTTCCGGCGACAGGAGAGGCATTGGAACGTAAAGGGCAAGTCGCATCTGTTCTATGAAGTTCATACTAGAGTTTGATCTTGAAAGTTTATCTAAGGGGAGTATGCAAATGTGGCATTTACTGACATTGTCATGACTATTCATGAGAAGACTCAGTAAAACGTCCGGCGTTCACAATCGGGGTGTCAATCTGACTTTATCGACTGAAGACAAGGGGATTTATGGTCGGATTAACGCGGTATTAAGGTCGGCGTCGGCGACAGACGCGCGGAGATGCTTCGATTTCTGTGAAGTACATGAAAGTTAGGTCACAGATATCAAAAGAAAAGTTTCGTCTTTGGAGTTTACTTGGCGGATAACAAGGTTGATGTTAGTTACTTGCTATAACTGAAAAACGAGCGGTGCAGTTAAGTTTGACACTGAAATGTGTTTACAGGAATTGGAAAACGAATTGTGCAGTTTGACATAGAAATGTGTTTACAGGATTACAAAACGAATGATGCAGTTTGACATACAATTGTGTTTACAGGAATTAACGGCGTGCGGGAGTTTCAGAAGATCGCTGCTCAGAGGGATTGGACAATAGTTTCCTCCGAACAGTACAACCCGATTGACAAGCCAGAAGAGCTCAACGTAGAGCCCCAGCTGCGAAGTATACGAGATAAAGGTAAGTAAATGTGCCGCAGTTCTTCTGGGAGGTAATTAGAGTGGTATGAGAAAGGGAAGTTCACTTTGAAATTGAACGCTGACATACTGTATATCTGTTTGTAAACTAAGAGTTGGGACCAATTACAAGAAAACATGGTTTTTATTATAGCTACGGGATATGATTAGGTGCTGAAACGACCCAGTGTGGAGCCATCTAACAAACATAATGCCCCCATGACGTCAATGAGTGGACATTAGTCAGGTTCTAGTGGAAGAAAAGGTTTATTGGAGAATATTTACCATACACTTTTAATTATTTAACAACTTTACTAGAAGAATACTTTATCTAACATGGGTACAAAACCTATTTAACACCCTCACGTTTTGAAACCAGGCTATACTTCACCGTCTTGCGAACTTTTGTTCACACTCAAACAAGAATGCAAAGACTTTGTAGGTAGTAAGAGCTTGATGTAAGTCTACCACGGGTGTACTTCATACTTCAGAGTAACAAAGAACCGGGTATACCTAGTGCCTGTTATGTTTTACGTTATGGAGGAACTTATAGACCTAATGGCACAGAAGGGGGGGCTGTTATCACCAGGTAAGATGAAAAACAACGTGGTTTCATTCATTTTTATGACTACTTGGCAAATTGTAAAGAAAAGTATGTAGCTTGTTCTTACCTCGTCTACATTAATGATATAGATCACAGAGACTTTCACATACACGTACATCACGTATACTTTCAAACATTATGTAGTTCAATATCTTTTGTACGTATTTACATCTCCAAATATAACTACAGACAAAGGACATTGTACCTAAGATCAAGTGAATGTGATCCAAAAAGTTGTACTTGACAGTTATAGAAGCTTGTAATTGTACTTCACGGTTAATTGTAATATTTTCATTATATTGCACTTATCATACAGGTAGTGATGAAATTTGTTTTCAGGAGTTCGGGTTGTAATATTGAACGGACTTGCGGAACATGCACGTGTCATTTTGAAGCAAGCCAAGGCCCTAGGCATGACCGGACATGGTTGGGCCTGGGTCGTCACGGATGGAATCACCTCAATAGTATGTATTTCTCTTAAACGTTAGTCCCTAGCAAGTGCTTTTCCTATGATTAGGATCATTATAGGATTATATTTATTATGTTTACCGAAGGGAAAATTGTTTTCGCTACGTTTTCTGTACTTCCGTTCCAAACACTGACCATTGACCTGGCCAATGACCTAATTTGTTGACGTCTCTTGCCATGGTAACTGGTGTTGGGTTACAAAATGTTGCAATTTTATTGTAGGAGGGATTTAGACTCCTGGCTGACCATATATATTAATTTATTTGAGTAGAAATTCACAGAGCAGACCATATGCGAAGGTAAAAATTATGCATTTGCTTTGCAAATGTTACCTTTCTAGTTCCATATTCTTTTTCCTTTTTACAAACAAGTTAGACACACTGAGAAGAAATTGTTTTCTATAGCCAACTCCCTTCGCATATTACAAATGCTATCCGCTCATTCTAAAACTAGTCACATTCCATTGTAAGCCTTTTCCAGTAGTGAGCGTTAGTTAGGATTAGTTTGTAGACAATAAAACGACATGCAGGGTTGAACTTTATGCGCTTATAATTCCTCGTTTACACATGGGGAGAACAAAAAAAGCAGGGCGTCTGGAGGTTGCTCACTGGGGGTTTGAGAGAATTTATTTCTACTTCAAACATACATTGACAGGGAAATACACACATATACATGTCCATATGCCCTGAATTGCGTAAGCTTGTTACAAAACAATTGTACATACCATATGTGCTGACTGTCCTAACCAAAATACATATAGTAACAAACGCTAAACCAAGATCCAGGCTCACAGGCTGGTGGTTGGTCTAGGAAATAGAGTTATTGTAAAGTCTGACTGCAGTGTGCAAGAAAGACTGTCTCAGTCGTTCAGTTCTGGCCTTGGGAAGAGTGAACGCACTGTTATTCCTCAGATTCTTGCCAGTGGCTGTGCGTCTTTGGGGGGGCACGAGATCGTGCAGTGGATGATCAGGCTTTAACATGTCCTTAAAGAGTTTGAATAAGAACAGATGACAAAGCTTATTAGCTTATACTGGGGAGGAGATAACAAACTAAACTTATTAGCTTATAATTGGGGTTGAATATTAAGAAAAGATAACAAAGTAATTACCCTTAAACGAAATCTCAAGAATCACCTACTTCTCTTCTCCGAACCCATTTGACATTTTTATTATTTTAAGATAAAGTCCCATTGACTTATTGTATTCTCATTATTTTATAGGTTATATTTATCCACAGTTTCAGGTTTGTATCTTCGTTATGAGTAAGAACGTCATTAACAAATCGCATTTAAAACATTATTAAAATATTGCCGTCCTATCCGCTATTTATCCATCATATCAGTCATATTGCGTTACTTAATAATTATTTGTTCTTATCTAATAACAATCATTATCATATGTTGTTAATATCATTTGTACTATTTATCAATTTCTATTATAATGCATGATACAATTTATGTTACCGGGGGAGGATCGCGGACAGGCAATAACGGCTTTTTATCCCCCCTCCGCATATCTCTTTTTGTTATGTTATGTTTATTTTATTTCTTTGATTACATGCCAATATAAAAAAAGTTACCCAATCATTCCGTACATGCTAGACTCTACGCTGCTATCAGTGGTTTAAAATATCTATAGAAAAGATAATAAATGGTTTGAGATGAGTTTAATTTGATTGCCTGAAGCTTTTCTAATTATAAAACTTGTAAGAGGTGTATAATCACATTTCAATGAAAGAGAACTGAAAAAATGGAGCCTTGCAGACATGTTTGCTAACTTCCGTGTGTATCAAGAGGGAACATAACAAACCCTACAGGAAATAGATCCTCTCTTTCTCTCTTTGCTAAATTGATTTTTTTTATTAACATTCTTATTGGCCACATGTTGCAACTTCAGGGAGTTTTTTTGGCTCAAGGCATGCAGCAATGACTCTTTTTTCTAATCTTTGAACTTATGAAGTATGTACCGACATCAGTCACAAGTACAATGTATATAACGGTCAATATACAGGTAAAAACACACAAGTTACAGGCATTGTTACAAGTTACATTAAGGACTATCCAGATGGTGATTGGAACGAGTTTAATCGTTTAGAGAGGACAAAAAACAAAACCATAAGAAATTGAAATGCAGAAAAACGTTTAACATCCTTTCATGCCATTTATAGATCTTAGCTAATAATTCAGTCAACACTCTGTAAAGCATAGTACTCATAAAACCTGTATAGTATATATATACATATATATATATATATATAGAGAGAGAGAGAGAAAGAGAAGAGAGAGAAGAGAGAGAGAGAAGAGAGAGAGAGAGAACTGCTCATTGTACTCTTTATAACTATATTATAGCATAGCGTAGCACGTACTTGTAGAGGTGTACTGATTCTTAGTGAGTAATTCTATTCAACATTCTTCCAGGCATAGTACCCGTTGAACCTATATTTAGAAGTTTGATAGACCAATATATATCAGCTAGTAATCTTATTATCTGCCATACATTGTATCTCTACAATCATTGTGCAATAAACTTTGACTTTGAATTGACTTTGACTACAGGAGGGCCTTTATGATCCGTGCCAGCCTGTCCCTGACCACCTGCTGGGTATAGTGGGCACCAGGGTGTCTGTGGGAAGAGGGACACATTATAAAGAACTCCTGAGAAGACTCAAACTGGCCAGGTCTCAGGGCACCGGGAACAGTAGAATAGGACGCAACAACTGTGGAGGATTCGTAGACGTAAGTACTACTATAGATTTATGGAATTGCTTTATAACTATAAAGAACAATACGCCAAAAGTAGTTACTCGAGCAAAATCACAAAATCACATCCAGTTACTTCAGTAACTGCTAGCTCTTGCGCGTATCTTATTACCTGGATGTCTAACCTTTATCGACGTATATAGAACAATATGTAGAAAAAAGGCTCTGGCATCAACCTATACCTCCTATCAAATATAAATTCTGTGTTTATGCCATACACCTGTAAGGCGTCATATTATGACACCTCATCTTTCTGAATGGCACCTCTATTTGCAATGGAGTAACTTTGATTAGGGTTTATTCAACATACTTTGTGATATGACCAAAATCGTCTTAATGTTACATAATATAATGCAGCTTTAAAGGTTACAGTTATAGGTGTTAAAGAACAGCTATACGGTTCCCGTACCCAACACTTGAATGGAACTATTTACAGCAGGCTACAGAAACCAGTATTCAATGCTCCATACATAACTACGCCCTTCACTCTTGACCTGCCTAAGATGATATAGAATTCTAAGGACAAATCTATATCTGTTATGACAAAACGTACACCTTTGCTATCAGTTATCCGTCCCTGAGGTACATGTAGCACTTTCTGAAATGGGCGAACCCCTATTCATGCTGACATCCGATTAATCGCCATTCCCCAAGGGTCTTCAAACCAGGTATAAGAAGGCCGGGGCTTTATCAGTTTTGACAATGTCGGTGTTGACAAATTCCGACGCTTCTTCCCAAAGGTTTACGCGTACGCTACTTTCGACTCGGTCATGGCTCTTGCGTACGGCCTGCACGACTTCTTGAGCTCGGGGAGGAATCTGTACGGCCCCGATATGCCATGTAACGTGTGCGAGGGCGCTCCCGGGGCACACCCCTGGGACCAAGGCGCTACCCTCTACCAGTTCATCAAGCAGGTCAGGCCTCAATGGTGTCATTGTCAAAGTAACTTTTAAGCAATTTGATTCTTACTTAACAACGACAGATGTCACAGTTACAGATGGATAAAGCGCACTTGTCTCTGACTCAAAATCCCTAAATACATAAATGTAAGTTTTGTTTCTCAGCATTTCTCAGCTCATCGTCCTACAGCTACCAAGAACTTGCAAACATGTCACAGTTGATTATGTAAAGTTCTGTCTTAATATATGTTACTTTTACTACACTGTCGTTGGTGTAATGAAACATGGTCCCCAACGACCACTTCCATGCATGTCACGTAAGGAAGTTGTCTGACATCCAGACAGCGCGCTGAAAAAATATACTATACAATAACTTCGTATACATGATTGCATATGTCCTACACAGGCCAATGGACCAGGTGCCGTGGCAGACATCAGTTTCAACTCCAGAGCCGCGCCCATGGAGAATCGCTTCGACGTGGTCAACCTCAGAAAGAAGGGAATGGCAAAGGTAAGGAAGAACTTCAAACCTGCTCAAGCTTTCTTCATACCACGTACCAAGCTGACTCCATTACTGAGCCAGCATTTGTGATATCCTGTTCATGATCAATACTATTCATAATTCAGCAAGGCGAAGAAAAAATGTGCATGTTATGAAAAAGTATGAATAACAGGAGTAAGAAGTTTACAGCCTCAAAGCATGTTCGAAAGTTGTATGACAGTTCAGCAGGATACAGATGTGTTGCAGAACCAATGTGTAGAATTATTCATACCTTGGCGCTCTGTTATTATGTTTTCTGCTGTAGAGATTGTCTCACCAGTCCCTTTGATTAAGGAATACCATAAATCACCTGGCTACACGGGCTGAAATATGGGTGTAGAGTGAGATTGGTGAAGGCCAACTGTGTTATCAACTGGTATCCAACGTGGTGGAGCTTGTTAGGGCGTCTTGCTCAATCATCTCGGACCTTTGAAAGCAAAATATACAATTTGTGTATAGCGGGGGGAACACCACGGGAAGTCCCGTAAAAACGCACCGAAACTTTTTGGGGTTTTATTTTGCTACTTCATCTACTTTAAAACTATTCTTTGAAATTATTGTTACGGATGAACTAAAGGATATCAGTATTTCCATCTGGAACGCCGCAGCTACTCAACGAGACAGTCAATGTACAGCTTTTCACTACCAAAACCCAGATGTAACAGTGGGAAAAGGATGTATGTGTACAGGGCCGTGAAACTCTGGAATTTTCTACCAACCGAGGAAAAGACCAGATCTCATATCAAACAATACACTAACATGGTGGTACATTTGGTAAAAGTTCGATAATTACCGCGTAAGGCAGAATGTTCTTTTTTTAATGATTGTCATGTATAGGTAAGACTTCTATGCAACGTGAAATTACTCGAATATTTTTAAGACTGTATCAGTGCATGATAAATGTGATTGTAAATACCTGTTTCTGTACCTGTATGTAATTGGTGTGGGAGCCCTGGAAGATTAGCGTCTTAAGGGGCTAAATGGCATCCCATTAAACTGAAACTTATACTGTGGTCATCGTAACTAAAGAAACCATGTTGAGATACCATTCTCAGAAAACAAATAGCATCAGCATTTTTCTTTCTTTTTGAGGAGAAATAATTCTATTCATTTTTCTCCACTGTGTGATTGATATGATAGCGATATTTCCAACATGTGTGTGCATGCATGTTGCGCCCGACCAAGCATGCAACTCCAAGCATGGATTGTAAACTACTGACAGCAACGTCATCACAGATTCAAAATCCAATCCCATGGACAGTACTAACGCTTACTTATGCACATGTCATGACGCCTGAGATATGCATGGTCACATGTAGCAACTATGTGCATATACGGGTATCTGATATATCATAAGTATGGTAGATGCCTGCAAGCATCTAGCATAAAATACGTTTAAAAAGATATCCCAGCGTGCGAGTAAAACAGGAGGGAATATGCTGTCTTGCAGTCTAGAAATTCGGTAATTCTATTATTTGGACTAAGGGGAATTTCATACATAATCTTCTTTCCCGACAGAAACCATTACCCAGTACCCCAGCTGATGCACGTCATATATAGCATATTGCCTGGCCCCAACGGATCTGCCCAAACTGCCCCTACAGGTCTTTACATCTCCCTGAAGTATATTTTACAGATCAAGTACGTGTGTTATCTTGACAATACATCGCAGTGTGTCATTTACAACAGAGAGATTCACAGCCGCCCGATGGCACTTCATCTGCAGACTTGTCTACTTCTGATGTAATGTGATTTTTTACGGTATGAAAAGTACAAAAGCGGAGCGCCGCCGGCAGCCATTTTGAAACCTCTGATCTCAACTCTGCAGTCCAGAAGCGTAGTTGGCACGGGCATCTTGAAAACTTTAAGAACCTCCTTCAAGCTGCTGTTTTTAAATCAAAGAACGCCAAGCTACATAAAATACCAGCCTTGCAGCTGCGTCCATGATAGTTCCTCTCAAAGGAATTGATAATAGACCACAATATTGAGGTCTTTAGGTCGTAAAGTTCTGCCAACTTTCCCAACAAAGTAAATTTCATGATAATTTGATATGAACTGTTTGAAAAGAGACAACTCGTGCCAAAAGGCAAACTACATAATAGTACATTACTATCGTCACGATTGGTCCTTTGAACAGCCAACAAATTGTGAAAAAAAATTCCAGTGTAAAATTTGGATAATGAACATTACAAAAAGCATTGAATGTGTAAAATTTTAAATCACTTAATGGAATGTAGCCACTCATGACAGAGGTACAGAGCACTAAGACACCCCTAACGTGTCCAAGATAATGTTTTAAAAGTAACCTTTAAAAGGAAAATTTGCTGAACGCCTAAAAGCAAGATGCAGGCTGCAATTCATTACCCTAACACGCCCAGGCAACCTAAGTATTCAAGTCTCGCGCGGAAATCTTATCACTGTGAAAACGGCTAATATAGCTGACATAGTGGCAATTTGTATCACTGAGAGAACTACTCGTCCAGAATTCTTACCAGTTTCGATTCTCTGTTCCTCAGGTCGGGGAATGGTCGGAGGAGGAAGGGCTGAGTCTGGATGAGCACGTAGTGTTCATGGGAGGTACCACGAAGGTTCCAGTGGACAGCTCGTACGATCTGAACAACAAAACGCTCATGGTCACTACCATACTGGTAAGATCTTAGTAAAGCGACTTTTGCATCAGTCTTTGTGTTCGCAACACTGAAACATAATTCTTCATAAACTTCAACTGAATTTTATTCCTGGTGGCGAATACCTGAGAACAAAATAGATGAAAGAATGAATCAATGACTTAATTTTTAACTTTCACAAACCTTGGTAGCTTGTATGATACTTAGCTGTGCTTTCGGAATTCCCCCTTCAAGTATCTATCAGGAACGAGTGACGTTATGAAAAATTGTCATTCTACGCTATCATATTTGATGCGGCACAATCTACTTAGGGAGTCACATTTCTACTTTATGACCAAATAAGTTATCCTTACTGCAAGCAAACCAACAAACCGTCAATGCCTGTAAGAGTCAACAGTGTAAACACCAAGTACTTTAGACCTGCGTTCACAATGTGCAAAACAAATATATGACATTTAGTAATAGACTGTACGTCCACTATGTAGCATATGGCACGATATTATACAGAATCGCCGCACGTATGTAGTGAGGAAAAGTGAATTGCCCAAGTAAGCAGTGAGGTGGGTTAATGTGTGCAAGTAGTGTGATGGATAAGGTATACGCAACTTCTTGGAAATTGCAATTTTGGCACTCTCTCAAGGGCAGGCTGCATATTACATTCTTATTGTGCGCCTACATGTAGGTAATAGGCAAGTCTATTTAGGGAACGACACAGACACAGCTATGAGTTGAAATTAAGAACAAACTGCTCATGACATCTCGTTTACTTCGATTACAAAAGTTGTAAGCTAGATGATTTATTCCAATTACATCTCGTTACATTGTCATGTTTAGATTACTGGTGGTTTAATCATTCTGTGCTGGAATAATGTAAGCCGTCAATTTATTAAGGAGGACCTATTTCCAACATCACATTTGATAAAAAAACAAAGTTAGTTATGTAACGCACATTGTATATATTGAGTGTTACCCAAAATACGTTAATACAAAGTTTGTTGCGAATTCATGTCCGAGGGTTATTTGCAAAGACAAAGGACATAATAAAATAATAAGTGAAAGCTTATTGCAAATCCATGCCCGAGGGCCAACTTCAAGAACATGATACAATAATAAACAGTAAAAATAAAAATAAATTATGCTACCAATGCTAAATTGACAATGATACTGATAAGTTATTGTTGGGTTCGATCTTTTGTGTGTGTAAATAGTAAAATTGACCATAGATACTACTAATACAAGTATTGCCTGTTTATCACAGGAGCGCCCTTTCATCATGATAAGAAGTGACCCGAACCTCCGCGGAAACGACAGGTTTGAGGGCATGTGTATCGATCTGCTGAACGAGCTGCAGAAGTCTCTCAACTTCCAATACAAAATCTACCTGGTGCCGGATGGGAAATTCGGTTCTCAGGATCCCATAACGGGAGAGTGGAATGGTCTTGTGAGAGAACTACTAGATGCGGTGAGTACGATGTCGCGGCGAAGTATGGCAGATTTAATGACATACGACGCCCAAAGGTAACTCAATTCTCTGGATAGATGCCATGCCATAGGACCTTCGGAGGCATTTTGTTGTAAATAGATTACAGAAAACCAATTACATGTATCATGATGCTGCTTCGAGCAGAATGTCGCTATCCCGAATCGACGTACAATCTACGTTGATGCTTCTCATGCGGGTCGTAGTCAATAAGGTCCTTGACTTATATGTAACGTAGATTCTTAAAGTACCATTAGAACATTCTATACTTTTATGATGTTACATATTTGACTGATCTTTGAACCTTTGTCAAAGTCAGTCGAATTTTTTGTTACAAAAATACACTTAACTACACTACCATATCGGGATCAGAGGGGCTTTCCTAAGTTGCAAGTTGTTCCCATTCAGTTACCTTGAAATATCCACTAAAAATATTTGTCACCAGTTTAAACTGCTGAAGAAGTTATCTCCAATGTGTACACAATCCTCATTGACGTAGATGGTCGCTGAAACATACAAGAACGTCCAGTCATCACTAGTAACATAACAGCCGGTGGACGATATAAACTCCCTGGCACTTTTGATCAATTCCTGACATCACGTATCCGTAAATTCTCGTGTGAATAAGGTCCCGTGTCTGTAACCGTAACTATCGCGAGATTACGTTTTGAAGTGATTGGTCATTCATTATCCTAATGAAGGCGACAGTGGTTTCTGAAAATTTGATATCTGTGTAATCTTTGTGTTGGAATAAATTTCAATGTTTTACTATGATTACTGCCAACATAGATGAACCTTCATGATCATAAAAGAACGTGTTTATTCCATAGAAAGCTGACCTGGCAGCCGCGACCCTGACCATCAGCTACGAACGTCTGCAGGTCATATCCTTCACCCAGCCCTACCTGGACCTCGGCATGTCCATACTCATGCGGAGTCAGGACCCCAAGAAAAACCTCTTCGCCTTCCTGGACCCGTTCAGCCCAGACCTGTGGATAGCTTTTGTATTGTCTATGATCGTCGTGTCCTTTGGGGTCTGGTTTTGCAGGTATGATTCTTACGCCTTCCTCATTGCATATAATACTAAAGTTCTGTAAACAAAATCCCATGTAGACTGTGTACACAACGTTACAATATGTCAAATACACACGTCTGCTCCTGCGCGAAACCCGTAATGTATTGTAGCAGAACTTTATCAGAACGTCCCATATTATGTCTAGTATTCGTGCATATAAGGTTAACATTACGCCTGTAGTTTCAAAATGTTATGTTAGAAAAGATATCGTCAGCAACAGGCAAAATTATGATGCAGCGTTGACTAACATCTAACGAAAACCGTGAAAAAAAACAGCATTTCACGCAGTACGTTTTGCCGACGTGCTTGCCAAAGAGTAGGTGGGAGGGGGGGCAATGTAAAACTACTCCTATGACAGTGAACGAGGACCAGCCTTTCGCTAGCTCTCAGAACTACCTTTCTAGTTAGACATTGATGGATTTCGCAATTACACAGGAATCTTCTCCTTCATCAGACAGTCTGCATGCATGTCTTAAAATATGTAGGTCGCTTCAGCGATTCTACAGGCATCTTGGTTCTTGGCTCATCCTCTTCATTGGGAATATAATATTATGTTATTATATTCACCCATCTTTCATGTACATGTTTTATTTACTCAGTTATTGTAAATCATACACTTCTGTCTTTATTCTGTCTATTCCTACCAAAGGTACTTCTATCAAACTAAACATCCAACAAGAGCAATAATCATGCATGTTCCACAGCACCTTCAGTCCCTATGGACACTACGGCGCGCATGCACAACGTACCGACCCACAGGACACGTCCCAAGAAGAGCTGAGTAACAACCTGAACCTGTGGAACTCCTTCTGGTTCGCCTTCTCCTCCTGGATGCAGCAGGTTAGTTTTCATAAGTTCTTTGACTTTTGATCCAACTCAAAGACAGATCACTCATCAAACCATCCACATGGGTCGTCAGGTGGAATCTGACCCACTCACGTTCTATCACGTTGGAATGTAACGGAAAAGTGCTGGTTAAAACTGCCAGGAAGCTGATACCGCCCGCCGGTTGAAATATACGTAGCTACATAAATCTTAGTTTTGTCTTCTCTCCACAAGTGTCTATGGTCAGTTGTAGTCAGTGCATTCAAGTTTGAAATATTGATGGTTAGACCCAAACACTATACACACGCCTGCAGCCAATATTTACAAAATTACGTGATGCAATTAAAACAATTTGGCAGTATTTAATCGATGAGACCAAGCCAAATAATTTCTGAATAAGTTTGGTCCAGGACAAGATAGTAAAGAAGTTTGTGAAGGTCCTTGACCAGATGTGAAAATGTCAACGGCAAAATATAATACCAGTCTAAATCACTACCCGATCGATTAGCCTTGAATGTTTATAAATCACACGTTTCTAGCTACTGGCAGAACATTTTGGAGGCCACCAGAGATGCTTTTACGTCCTATCACAGCATTGTGTGCAATTGCAATTGCAGTAGATAACTGCTCGTAAACACACCGTCCGCAGAAACGAACAAGGTCATCTTTGACAATTTTCACCATTACAAACGTTCTTCCAATCTCGCGGCCTACCAGGGTCAAGCCAGGTCCATCTCTGAGCTGATCCCGACGGTTTCGTACCAATTGGAAGGGCTCGATGTTTTATCCAACAGCTCACCTATGGGCAGTCTGTGGTTATCTATCATCTGGCTGTAGCTGGCAACTAGCTTTACCACTATAGGAGAAAGAGTTGTCAAAAAGTAGAGTTCTGATTCTTTATATGAAACGGTGTTCACTCTTTTTGCCCACTTTGTTTCCCAGAAATAACCTTGCGTTAAGTCTAAAATCTCAATTTAGAGGAATTGTTCCAGTTGAATGGCGTAAGCAGAAATTGAATTTTCTACATCTTAAAACCTATTTTCAAATACATATTGTATGAGTATGAAGCACAAACAAAACGCTGCAGTGTAAGACCATAAGGATTTCTGGCCAGTATAGAATGGCGTTTTCCATGTTTAAGATTAAGTGAACTTCTTGTTCACCATCTGTCCGTATAAAATATTAACCGCTACAAGCCATAGAATACGGTATCTATATAATACGTGTGAAGCGATTGAGTTATGTATAGAGGGATTACTTTCCAATAACTACGGGCACGTTTTGATTTTTATATTGCTGATCCGATTAGTCATACCCACGCGCGTACAACTCGAATAAGTTCATGGTCACTATGCTCCACTTTCCGCATACAAGTAATAATGTTTTCACAATTATGAATAGACACGCTCTGGGTTGCTACTTACTGAAAGGAAATTCATTTTAAAGCTCTAGAGGTAAAAATAATATTTGTGATGGTTAATAGACATGTCTGTTGTTGGGGAACTTTGTACAAACACGTCTATTTATTTCCCCCACTCAAGTTATTGTTCATATCGTTATGACATGAAAAAAAGTTGAACGTGATTGCGCTAAACCAACTGTGCCAGCTGCCGTCACGCTCTAGGTGAAACTAGTATTTTCAGAACGTTATGACTCCATATATCCTGACGAGTTATATCCTACGAGAAAATGAAGTGACTCTTATTGAACATGATCGTTGTAGACAGTAAAGGCTGTAACATAGCTCGTACACGCGAAGCACGTCTCATTGCAACAGTTTCATGACAAAGATTTGGTCGGCTTATAGCAATACCAACCTCACAATACTACCGACTTATTGGGTACAACTGACTGAACTACGAGATACTTTTTTGGGTAGATTCTAAATGTCACCATCGTTCAAGGGTAAGGTAGGGGCACATTCTGGATTATCGCCCCGCCTTCAATATTCTAAGAATAATATTCGCCATTTGGAAGGTTATTACGTTGTGGGTCTTTGATGTTTCAGTCAATCTCGGTGTTGACCCTTGCCACAGGGTCCGGTAGAATTTGCAGAGTTCTCAGGTCAGGTTATACCGGTGAAAAATTACCTCGGCCGTGGCAGTAATGGTTTCGTTATTGATCGGGCTGCCTCGGGCTGCGATTGTTAACATCAGAGAGGAAGGAACGTACTCTTTTGGAATACTCTTCGACGATAAAGATTAAAATCGCCATCTCAAAAGAAACTAGTTTCTCCTACATAAAATGCACGCGTATTCCCCACTAAATCAAACGACAGCAAACAAATAAATCACATTCACCTGTTTCTTAAACCATTCAAGAAGTCGACATTCAAACAATACTGCTAAACATTTGTGAATATGCTCATTGCCGTCTGTAAAAGTACACATTTATATTACTTTTCTTATCGACAGTTTCTTTGAATAGTTGCCATGATTTTATATTTTTCACGAAGAGCTAAACTTTTCAACGTATTGCAGTTATTGCATTGGTCAAGACGTCATTGGGAAATAGCACATGAGTATTTGCATTGGTCAATTGTGTCCGGGTTGATGGATGACATCATCACCGTTGCAGCTTCAATCGATGAGGTGGTAAGATGTTACCCTGCAAGTTCCAATGGAAAATATAGACGTCTTTGTAGTTTAACAAGATTCATCGGGGTTTCCCTAAGAACATGATTATCTGTGAAAGAAAGTGCGCAACGGTTTTATACCGAGGGGTTGGGAATTCATACTTCAAAACTGGCTCACAATCAGATGAGCTTGAGTGGTGGGTAGCTGACCGATTTTTATGCATTGTCTCAGGAGATTTCACATGAAGTATCCCTTCACTACACCTGACCTAGACCTTTGTCTGTGAAGTATGTATGATACACCGCCATAGAGCAGTGAACCTTGGTTTGAAATGAACCACTTTATCTTATCTCAACCAGACAATGATGGATTCAAAAGCAACAGCTTTAAATGCTCTGACAAGAGATTGTGATCACCATTTCCCCCAACTTCTTTAAATCCCAAAGTGTGTAATCATTCTGTTGCGACGTCTCGCTGAGTACAATCCATATGATGCGTATAGATCACTATTAGACCATTATTAAACAATTCATTATTAAATGCTTCATTATCAATTGCATGGTCCATTATTAAAGACAAACAAAAATACATTCTTCAGTTCGAGTGTTATCTCTCTACGTAATACCGGAAAGTCATGCTGAGTGTTCGCTCTTTGCCTTGATATGCCTTGTGATTTGAAAGCTAGCGTAGTGGGCGAGGTAATCGATCAAAGCACTCTTGAAGCCTCCCACGGGGGTGGTAGATAGTCATCTAATGCGTCAAACCACTGAAATTGTAGGTGACTTTGTAAAACTTTTTCTTCTTCAGACGGAGGTCGCACCGAGGTCTGTGTCTGGGCGGATTGTGGGAGGTTTGTGGTGGATGGCAGTCACCGTCATCATCGCCACCTACACAGCTAACCTGGCAGCCTTCTTAACTGTGGCACGTATGAGCAGTGGTAAGGAAAGTACTCAAATCATTTAGTACTGTCAGTGAACCAGTATTACGTAAAGCCCCTGTCACACATTCAGAACCTTCACCAGGCATTGCTCCTGAACACCAGCCGACCAAGATCGACAAAAGTTCGGGAGCATTCTGGCCAGATTTAGGCCACGCCTGCCTTCCTATACCAATGGAAACAAATTTGACTGTTCGAAAAGTTGTGGATGTGCTTTTGTGAGGTGCGCTTACCAATCAAAAATAGTAATGACTACACAATAGTAGTTGACCCTTAGATAAGGATACACAAAGCAATAGTACACGACTAGCATCCTACCTGGAGTGACGAGCACCCTGAATGATCGGCGTATCGTCTCTGCTAGTTGTGGATGTGCCTTGTGAGAGAAAAAAATTACCTCAGACCATTAACAACAGTCTGTACTATCCGTGATTTTCTAGATATTTAATCACACTAGTACACGTATACAATTAATGTGGCCGCGCCTTTATCAGAGCTTTTCGGTGTTAATATGTGGCCATTTTCTATTGTCATTCTCAGACTTTCACAACGTATTATTTTCTCCCCAGGTATAAATTCAGTTGAGGATCTGGCGAATCAGAAGAAAATACCGTACGGAACGGTCAGCAACAGCCAACCAGAGTCCTTCTTCGAGTTTTCCAAGATCGAGCACTTCGCGCGGATGTACGACTTCATGACGTCACGGAACACCTTCGTGGAGACGTCCGAAGAAGGCATCCAGAGGGTCCACGACCCAAACGACGACTATGCCTTCATCTGGGACTCTGCCGTTCTGGACTACGAGGCAGAACAGGAGCCGTGTGAGATCATGACTGTTGGGAGACTGTTCGGGAAGATCGGGTACGGGTTCGGCCTCCCCATGCAGTCACTGTACACGGAGAGGTTCTCCCTGGAGATCATGAAGCTAAGGAAGTCAGGAGAGATTGACAAACTGAAAAGGAAGTGGTACGATGGACCATGCAAGCATCAGATTTCCGGTGAGTTAGGTTTTAGACCGGTTTGCTACGAAAGGTATATGTTTCATAGGTTTCGTGTTCATCACTTCATGGTGCATTGGTGTTACGTTGCTAGATGGGTGTGCTTATCAACTTTCAGCATCTCTAGATTGTAATTTACAACTGTTGTGAACAGACGTGTGCAATGACACATTATAAAGCGTAATGCACTATAAATTGACCCTTCCTTTGAAGAACTTGGCCGTGGTATAAGTAAAGTATCTGAAAAGTATTCTCTCATTATCATTTATATGCTGGCGTTGACATTTAAAAATCCTTTACCATTGTCAACTGTATTCCCTATCGTCATGCAGTTTAGTGCATGAATTGGTTCTCTTCACATATATATGTATATCTGGACCATGTATGTGTTTTTAGAGCTAATAACAAGCGTTTAACACAGCATGTTGTCATACCGCCTACTGTTACCTATAGGAGCCGTGACCACTGCTGCTGGCAACACGCTAGACTTCAAGTCCATGGCTGGCGTGTTCTACTGTCTGTTCGGGGGAGTTACGTTCGGGTGTGTGGTTGTCGTGTTTGAGTGGTGCGTGGCGGCACACAAGGAGGTTCACCCCCATAAACCAGAGGTTCGTTACAGTCGCTACTACACCTCTTTTGATTCCTGATGCGTATGAGTATTGTCAATACCTTTGTGGTAGACATACACAATGACAAATAGATATTTATCTAGATGTTTTGTGGCATGGCGTTGCCCATCAGTCTTATCATGTTAGAAGGCAGAACATCATTTCAGTCCTTATCTTTCTTACACGAATTGCTTCTCTACGACAGCCTGTCCTGAGACGACCTTACCGAAACATAAGGCATATCCGTCTATATTTAGCCTGGCAAATATGGCCCAGGTGTTTAGAAAAACTGCATCTGCGCGGGTTTAAATGGTATTTATCGTACGTTTGCAGGAAATTGAAGTGTACATTTGAGGATATTGTGAGCTGTCTAACGTGATTGCCGGATGAAACTTTATATCGATTAAGGCTGAAAATCTAATTTGCCATTCTGAAAACGGGTTTGGAGAAACCCAAAAGAAATGTTCTCCTCCTTCAGTTGATAAGGTCCAATCAGCATTGACCTTTTTAAGTGATTGACGTCTACGTTGTGCGTAATCCTGTGGGAAGCAGTTGTAATATAGGAGTTAAGCAATAAAACTCCCCATGTGTGTGGGCTGGGTTTTCTGGGTTTCATTGATTTTAGAACTGGATTTCTTAAGACGAACGGATAGGTTGCATTTTAATTTTGGCAATTATCTACCGGTTTCTTTCTAACATGGCTAAATCCAATCTTTTAGAAACTTAACGTGCCTTAACGTGTCAAAAAGAAATGAACAAAAAACTAGGTACTTTTTCATGCTATAACAAACGTGTGTTACGCCAAAGGGCGGTTATACCGGCTATACGGGTACAGGTACAGAACCTTCACTCAACTATTTCTACACTGTGACAGTATTGTGAGTTCTAGTCAGATGAATTGTCGGTAACAGTAAGCTGGATGAAGTTGAAGAACGCATTTAAAAGTCATATCAAAGAAAATGCATGCACAGAAACTGAAGGCGCCACTACCATACCACAAAATCTGTTATCGTTGTAAAAATACTTACCCCGGGATTTGGAATAACGCCTTGTTGTGACAAGCAATTATCGAAGAACGACATCTTCTTGTAAAAATTTCTCGCTTGGCGCCAGCCAACTAATTTTTGACATAATTTACGCTACTTAAATTTGTTTCTCGCTATCGCAGAGCAATGATTTGCAGCTTTGGGACGTACATTTTAATATACATTACAGTTTACAATTAAACTACTGAACGTCAGCTAAAGATGATGTTTCTTTGTTGGTCTATCAAATTAATATTGAATACTCTTCTCTTACATCCCGGTCGAAGGAGCTAATAGATTGGACCACTGATAAATCTTGTCTTATAAGGAAAGAAGCAGACGTTTTAGCAACGTTGTGTATTCTTTTCGCAGCGTTGGAAACTAAATCATCTTAATTGGAACATAGATCAAAACAACATTTCAGACAAGCAATTTTTTTTTACAAATGAAGGCAATCTTCAGCTGTCCGTGAGTCGTCAGAAACAAAGAATATGCTCATTGGAAGCCTTTTGTTTATTCTACAGTGGTTGTGTGATGTAGTGTAACAGTTGAATGACTCTTATAACTTACCCCAGGTTAGATTAACACAGATACAGAACATACAGATACCCCAGGTTAGATTAACACATGACACTGGGCATCACAACTAGAACTAAATAAGTAAGGAAGAAGAGGGAGGAGTCACAAGAAATATGAATTAATTATATAGGTAAATGTCAACACCTACTACAGTTCACAATTTGTAACCAAGACGTGATCTATGTATTATATAAGAGTTATTATGGTAAAATTTACTATAATGGACAATCGTTGGCGTTTAGTAACGTAATTGACTTTACATAACGTAGATAACGTGCTTGAAATAATGTACTTGGTTCCTCTGTGAAATGAACACGTTTTTCCATTGATGTTAAAATGTGACACTGGTACTGCCGTCTATGCATTTCTTGGTCTTTCATGTGGTCATATTCTTAGGCAACGACCTGTATTTATGATTCACTAAATGATCATGCGAGACGTTTTGCGTAGAGGTAATGTGCTACATTTATTCCGAAGATAGCCCCACACTAACATTCCCGGCTTTGTCCTCTCGAATTTATTACCACGCGTTGTCGGTAATGATGGTTGAGGCTGAACATTATCAGTAGAATGGTTGAACTAAGGTGATTTTTCTCAGTGTAAGAGCGGCCACAACGAGATAGTCTTTGACAACTTGATCACCATTGTCTGCCCTACCATTGCAGTGCTCCCTGCAGTTAATCTTTTGGAAAGTTTATAAAATGAAAGGGATTTCGTTCTTTTTATTTCCACAGAGACCTCGGTCTTTCTGCGAAGCTCTGCGGAACAGGATGGGGCGGATGTCGCAGGACATTCGCGAGAACTGGTACCCCTGGAAGTACTGCTGCCGGCGGAAGGACCGCGCCGAAGTCATCATTTACGACAAACCGGGAATACAAAAGGAGATCACCCTCAGCAGCCTTCTCAGTAACGGTACCCTGAACAGAACGACCGGGGTCGTAAGAACAGAGGACCCGTGCATCGACTTATACCAGCAAAACATCAATAGGCCCTCCCTGCGCAGGTCGAGAGCGACTTACGAGAGTTCGATAGAGGAACCTCCAGAACAAACAACAACCGACTCCTGTGAAAAAAGACGACGTCTTCTGAACATGGTTCTTCGTTCAAATTCTTCAGAATGAAATCGAAATATTGGGGCAAATTCGTCTCGGGCGATGCTCTAGAGGTGGTTAAATGAAGGCAGCGTATGGACTCCGGGACGACAGAGTTTGTGTTTTTATCCGTACTAAACACTGTGCAAACGACTGCAGTGATAATGCTGTACAGTGGGTATCCCACTAATGTTATGTATAGAACCATCAGTACATTGTCGTTCTGACTGTCGGTCCTGTTGAGAATCATCACGCTATATCAGGATGTTCCGCTGAGCAAAACATCCAGCTTTCGAGAGTGTTTTTAGAAAAAAACGAGGTTAAATCCTCGTCGCTCTCAAAGCCAAGTAAATAATATCATAAATTTAATATTTCAATACCTTCGAATAGCGCGATATCCTTGAACATCACGATATCCATGAATTGTACCTCTTCTGGACAGCTGTTATGCTGAAGAGTTGAGTACCAGGAATGAAAGCGTTTAGGTAGTGTGTTAAAAATAGTACAGAGATACACCGTGCGGTTTACTGTAAAACTACAGAGTAATATATATATTTGACCAACAGCCTATTGCTGCTGATACAAGATCTACATTGGTGTACGGTAGACTACTACATCTATAACTGGAACTAAACGGAACGTCAGCTTTACAAAGTGCCAAGGACTCGTCAAAAACTATATGATCACATACTAACCACCTAATATAGTATGCAGCTAGCAGCTAGCTTACTTTTACCAGTATATGTCCGATAGAAATGTCAAAATTTCCATAACTATTGACTAACTGGTTATCGAGTGAAACTGGTATAAAATGATAATGTAGTCGGTGCAATCTGTACAGTTTAGAAAAAAATTGAATGCGAGGCGTTCGTTTACGTTTCAAGTTTGCACGCTGGAACAATACAGAACTGGACCGGAAGTAAAGCTCTGTACGTCGCAGGAATATTTACTGATGTAACAGATGTATAGATATAAAGCACACGTGCATTTCTTGTACAAATCAGTAGGTGGCAATGCAATGACGAGTCGAAAGATTCCATTAAGTCTTAGGGGGAGAAGTTGCATTTAGAATGATAGACATACTCATTGTGATTACTGTACAGCGTACAATGTTCTTCATTGAGAAGATTACTAATTAGTTTCCTAACATAGAGTAGATCAATCTCTAGACATTTTGTTGTAGACATATAGTTTGGATTCTGCCTCGCATTGTATGTTTTGCAATCGCTGCCCAATAAACTTTGACTTGTCTTTTTAAGTATTCGTAGACGAAGCCTCATAAGGCCTAGTTGTGTGCACAGCATGCACACACAAGGTGTTTAATATATTTATTTACTCCTTTTCTAATCATATGGGTTTTTGTCTATTAAAAGGGACATATTCTACATATTGTATATCATTTGCACGTATCCACACAGAAATTACGCCTCAAACTTACTAATTAGCGTCTTGATTTTATTTAATTCACCAATTATTTCATTGTTTAATTTTTATGTTTAAATCAAACATGTTTTGTCAGGTAAAAACCACCTAGGTTTCTATTATTGTTATTATTTGATTATGTAACTTTTTATACGTGCAAATAATAAATAAATAAACAAATAATAATAAACAAACTAGCATTTTACTTCTTTGTCATCTACCAACCATGAATATGCATTCAAGCAGTTCTTTGCATTACATAGAGTAACAACCAATAGAAGACGTCCCACACATCACGTGTCTAGTTTTGATACATCCGACCAGATGTTCGGTCATGGGTTAAACACTGGAGATACGACGGAAAGGGCACAGATATGTATATATATTATTCATAACGACAGCCTAACGTTCCCCCAAAGCATCCATTTGAACGATTAACAGTGAGACCCGGCCACATCTTGTGACTGGTTGGGGCTGGTTTATTGGCCAATGGCGCGGGCCTTCATCGATCACTTCGTTTTTTACGGATCGGACGATACTGAAAGATTTAGAGGGTCAAGACATCGGTTTGAAAGTTGTAACAGCTATTGGGCTGTTCTATACAACTGTTAGGTACAACGTCTATTCAACGACTTTGTATTGGGAATCGTTATTTTTTTCGAATTCTACTCGTTACTAAGTGGTGTTTTATAATTTTGACACTACATGTACATTTGTACTACGCACAAGAACGCCATCGTTGTAACAGAAAAATAGAAATATGTCAAATGGTATAAAACTTTCAATGTAAAAAATATAGCAATTCCATTTGGAATATACTATTGACTACTGCAACAGCAGTGCTGCCTTACACTCTCCCGTGCGAAGTCCAATTGCCAACATATTCCAAGGGTTAACTAGGACAGGTAGTCCTGTGACTTTCAAGTTAGTACAGCTTTCAACACAACAAGTTCAGTAGAATATAGGTCGACATTCTCATCCATCAGTGGATTGAAATAAATGTTAATACTAACACAGGTTGACATAAATTCGGTCTACTGTACGTGATAACCAGATTCTGGGTTGATACCGTGGGCAGTGCATGCGCAGATATGAGACAGAATTAACATCAATTATTACCAGGATCGATATGTATAGTTATACTGTAAAAATGTAAGGTGGATGACGATTTGTTGTAGACTACAAGGCATCATAGTGCAACATTGCTGTATAATGATTTCTTATGTTCGTGAATAGTTTCATCAGGTTGGTAAGTCACAGTGAGTGATTAATAAAAAGAGACTCTTTTTACACAACCAAGTCTTTTATTCAGCCGACAGTCGACAGTCAGAATTACCATGAGGAAGGAGACATACGGTCACCGAAACGTCGGCTGAATAAAAGACTCTGTTGTGTGAAAAGAGACTCTTTACTCAGTGTCTTATGTTCTTATGTTCTGTCTGTATCTTTTAACCTATGTGGTATTATTTCCCGATGAGCAATGAAGCATGTATGAGCATTCACAAATCAATTGTGACATTTGAAATATACCTGCTACAGGGTCTTTCACGTGTAATCCTAAAATTCACCCATTTGACCTAATGATTCCATTATTACTTTTCAAAATTCATATTTCCGACATTAACCAGGACCCCTGATCCAATCCGGTCACACTGTAGTACGGGAAAATGAGATTTGGCCCGACTTTGACGTGGCCACACAGATAATTATTGTAGGGCATGCTTTCATAGAATATGACCTTCGTGACATTGCACCCGCTTCTGCAACTGCTTACCAAATTGCGCCTTCCCATGAGATACAGAATGCAATACTTCAAGTCCTCTAGATGCATTAAACAACCATATTTTCAGAACAAAATCCACGAGGATATTGCCTAACAATATTTATGAGAAACTTAAACAAAATGGGAGCTTGTCTAACTCATCAATCTTGGTCTATATACCCTGGGACCTTAGACACCATTCCGTTTGATATAAATGTGCACGACAAAATTTCTCTACGCATGAACAGTTACCATGTCCTAACGCAGTACATGGAATGTTATTTAGGAAATGACAAAGGAGATATGTGCTACTTTGAAATACATTGTAAGACACAAGGTCCACCTTTGTAATGGAACGTGGCATGAAGTCGCCAGCCATAATGACTTTTTCACCAAGTGATAGTGGTGAAGCAATATGTCAAAACTTGTATATTTCCACATGACATTCAAGTAATGGAATTTGCTTTATTTATCTAACACTCGGCTGGCGTCCATGAGCCGAAAAGTCTGCTCCGGCAATGTGAGAAATGACCCCGGGACATTTAGTCGGACGGCAGGTTCTTAATCTTGTAATCTTGTACCGCCAAGTTCATTACCAGGCAGATTCCTGGAACAAAGAAGTGATATACCCGCTCGGCGATCTTGATCGAGATTGCAGGAACAAGTGTATTAGTCGTAGTTGAATGGTCCGGCAAATGAGACCCTGTTGTTTCTATGTGTGGTATCAGCAGGATTTGTGGACATATGACGGATCGTCCTGTGGTTATCAACGCTATGCAGGATTTGAGGAGGAAGTCCACTTCTCCAGTGTAGCTTACCCTGGGGAAAAACGCATTTCTCGCCACGTTTCATCACCCAGGCGTGATAGAGACGACAAATCAGAAAAGTCACCTGGTGGTTTCGCCGCTGGGACCATAAAAAGTTCGCCTGAATACGAACTTGGCAGACGTGTCTGGTAGAGATGAAGGTATAGCGTGATCAAACGAGTCGCTTTTGATAACTTCGCCTACTACTTAAAGGTAACACGGCGTCTACACTAGGAACGCGTCTATACCATTTGCAATAGGCGTGAAGATTACATTCGTCTATAGATATGTCTACCTTAGGTTCTAAAGCCGTTCAGTCGTTCTATACTTTGAAGTTATAGTAATTATGTAAAACATGTTCCCGCCATAGCTCCAGAAAGCTTTCCCGTGCTGTAAATTGTACTGCACAGAGCCCCTACCCAAATCTGCCAAAAAGCCTCCCGCGTTGCGGGTATGCAGGGATTACCTTTTAATGCTCTGACTGCATCGCTCCACCGGCTTGGGGACCGTTATCAAATGCAAGCTATTTGCCAAATCCGTCGAGATTGGAAAGAAGTAATTTTATAAAGCCCAGTGGCCCACAACCAAGGTCGTGCGACGGAACCTTCGGCGACCTTTTCGGGTGGTTACCGAGGGAGTGCGCCTTGCCGAGCGTGCCGTTATACAATATCCGCGGGATATGAGGATTTAGGAGCAAATCTCACAGTCCTCAAAGGCCTAAGAGCTATGCAAACATTACAAAAGCTGTGTCGGTCTGCACGAGACATAGATAACAGATGCTGAGGCAAGGCATTCATTACTTTCAAAGTCAAACCTACAGGCTTACTGCTAAATGTGTTGGTTGTGCAAAACTAATTAAGTTCTGCAAGTACATTTTAGCCAATGCTACATACATTAAGTTATCATTACGTACTAGCACTTAAAGTATTGTAAGAGATTGACTAGTCCTAATCTCTGTCAGACTAGACGACTCCAGAGGGTTGTTGAAAAATAGTTGGTATTTGGCCAAGTAGACATAATAACGTACAATTGCAGGTTGT